ATCGTTTACCTATTTCACATAAAGCAGATTTTTATTTGGTCTTTTTCGAGTTCGATTTCTTCCACAGTTCCACATATTCGTCAGCGTTGAATTTCACCGGATCTTGAGTTTTCTAAAAAACGCACACACTGCCACAACAAATTTCTTAAAGATTCTAAATGAAGAAAAAACATCAAAAACTTACAATCTTTTTAAAATGTCTCATTCGTTTTTGAAAAATTAACTTTGTCCTATACTTTATTATAGTTTAGCACTCAATATGGCGTCTGTGTTTACAGCTAAGGGATAAAATATGAGACTGCTTACTTACGGTTTTTTTACATATCGTAAATTTCATTCCCGTTAATCTTACGCTAATAATTTTGCAAAACACAATGATGCAAAAATGAACAAGCATTCAGGCTAGGCTAGAAACTGTTCATACAGAGCTCCGAACTGGACTAGCTTTTCAATCAACATATCACTTACCACTATTTTTCTTGTTTTATGTCGTTTCATTGCCAATTTTCGGCGTTCCTGATCTGTTAGTGCGTCAAGATTTAACGGCATCTGTATGAGACCCACAGGTTCTGGTGCTCTGATTGGTATCGTTGAGCCATCTGGCTGTAGTAGCTGTGAAGAAAATCACTTTTATTCAAAGGTACGAAAAAACTTCGACCACTGAAAAAAAAAAACAAAAATGTTTGAAGGGCCAATAACCTGGCACATTTATGAGTTTTAGCAATGAACTGCTCGGAGTTTGCATTTAGTGCATTTAAAAAAAAAAATGAAAAAGTTGATTTTTCGATGGTTTTTTTGACCTGCTCGTCAAGTACAGGTAGCGTAGCCGCAAATAAGGAGACCGGATACTGCGCCACGTGCTGTAGCTATGCTACGCATAATGTCGAGGAGAGAAATCAAAGTTTTCGTACTTACTTTCCCGGAAAAAAAGGGGAAGCTAATTTGAGGGTTCCCTGGGTCTGCACATGGTCAGAGATCGTGATTTAAAATTTCAGATTTCCAGCTTTCGTAATTCCGCAGTTCTGTAACATCCTGTAGTTCTCGTAATTCTGTAGTATCATCACAACAGGCAGAGAGACAGACGCATACATACACATAGAAAACACAGATACAGACACGCACCACACACACACACACACACACACACACACAAACACACACACAAAGAACACACACATATATATTAATAATTATATTAAAAAAACATGCCAAAGGGTCAAAACTGTCAATAGCCTGCTTTGTAAGCAACCTTTGAAGGACGACGCAAAACAAAAATGTATGAAGAATTACCGTTACGAAATACTGTCGGACATATTTGGAGCGTTTTATTCGTGCAATACCCACACGGTGAGCGTTTCCACGTTCTGAAAAAGTGGCCAAAATTTATGCGAAAATGAACTGAACGAAATGGAAAAACAACAGCCATTAATGTGCAGTACAGAAGAACAGTTGGTTATTTTGCTTGCTTCACTAAAAACAGTGCTCCGCAAAGAGCAAAGCCAAGCAAGCAACAAGTCCAAATTTCCACTATTAGCAGTAAAAAAAACAAAAGAACACATTTTGTAGTTAATGTATTGATCCTCCCATTTCTTTTCGCGTTTTTTTAAGCAAAGTTGAGCTTGAATATAAGTCCTCTCCGGTCTAATTTCTCCTCATCCTTTCTCTCTCCCTCCTAACTGTCATACTAAAGAGGTCCAGTTATGGTGCCGGAAAAGCTAGAAAGCTGAAATTTCACAAAGATGTCCCTAGTTCAGGCGTCATCCAAAT